CTTACCAAAACATATATAATGACAAAATATAACATCAAATTATTATAAATAGCGTCAGTTCGTATTAAACATTCAGTGATTGGTTAGTCCTTCTCGTACTCTAATAACCTCCGCAGGGCGACATGGCATGCTGTCGATGAGGTTATTGATGCAATCCACTGTGATCTCATCCTAACTTCTCACTAGAGGGCGCTGAAACTTAGTTACAGTGGCTGATGTAGAATTTTCTGTCTCAGTTCTGCCCATCAGTTCTCATTGGGATTACAATCTGGAGACTTTGCTGGTCATGGCATTCTTGTAAAGTCCTCCTTGTCGAGATAATCCTGTACAATACGCATACTGTGGGCAGTGGCATTGTCATTCTGGAACACAAAATTATTGCCAAACCTTACCCTAACGTATGGAAGAACTATCCTATCCATGTGATGCCCATAGGAGGCGTCATTAGCGTTTCTCTGGAGGATATGAAGAATATTTTTTTCCACCATGATGAATAGCACAGGTAATAAATTAAAGACGGTAAATTCTGGTTAATATCGGTTTGCAGATAGTCCTTCTTACAAAATAACCTTGTTTGTTCAGTCTACTATTCACTGTTCTGGATATCCTGTAATGAATGTGCTCAGGCCATTCCTGTTGTAAGGTAAGCAAGACTTTTTTTCGACCTTGACATGTTAACCTTATCAAAACACGGTCATCTCGGGCAGTAGTTTTTCGGCGTCTACCAGTACAGTTTCCTGGAACAACGTTTACTGTAGTCCGATGAGGTTTTAAGATTCTGGACACAGTACACTAGAGGTACCCTACTGTTTTGTCAATGTCCGTTTGCTTCATACCATCCCTGGACAATCGAACAATTTGATGCCCTATAAGTTCTGGCACGAGAGGAGGCATGACAAGTACAGAGACAATCGAACAATTTGACGCCCCTTGTCTCTGTACTTGTCATGCCTCCTCTCGTGCCACAACTTATATTGAACAATTTGACGCCCTATAAGTTCTGGCACGAGAGGAGGCATGACTCTATACCAAGTACAGAGAAATTGTCTGAACAAAGCGTGGATTTGTTTCGAAAACGGTTATACCAAAAGCACTCCCCTTTTATACAAAATAGGTGTATAAAGTGTGTTTTGACGAACAAATGCTCAAAATAACTTATACAGACAAGAATAACAACTCGTACATGTTTGTCCGATCATATGCTACCCTTCCTGTTACTACTCGGGAATTTACTCAATAACTACACTATGCATGTAGACAATAACATCAATATAGAACAGTATGCAAACATTTTGGCCAAGACTGTATGATGGGGATCTACGAGTAGATTTTCAGGATCGCTGAGCCCCAATCTGATATCGAATTTTATTTCCCTGCTCCCTCCTCCTCCTTCTGAGTATTCCTGGGTCGTCATGTTTGAAAGCGTATTCATACCCTACTCACAAGCTAACGAGACCAAATATGGTATAATTGCTTAGGTGTCGCTGGCAGATCTTCTAATGGGATTTGTTTTCGAGTACGGACCCACTTTCTCTTAGGTTAGTTATAAAAATAATTGGGGATAATGGAGGAGCTTATCCGGTACATTATGGCTTCTATGAATCATGAGAGGGAACTCAGAACCCTGCAGAAGAGCGCGGGTATTTTAAGTTAATTGTTTACGAAGGGTGGATGACAATGCTTCTTCGACTGAAGAGTGATTTAATTTATAACGAGCGAATAGCAACAATATGCTGTTAGAATACGGAATTAATACTTATAATAATGAAATGTTTTTTTTTAAGTTAGATTGTTTGTTTGTTTATAATTAAGCACAGAGCTACCCAAAGGGCTATCCGTGCTCTGCCCA